CCCCTCTCCAACAACTGATGGGTAAAATAAAACTCAGTGAAACATTTCATGTTTCTTGTGCACCTGAGGGGTTTTCTTATTTAAAAGAACACTGCCTGGGCCAGGTGAGGTGGTTCACGCCTGTAATCCTAGCACTTTGGGAAACCCATGCCGGTGGATTGCCTGAGCTCACAGGTTCAAGACCAGCCTGAACAAGAGCCAGATCCTATCTCTAAAAATAGCTGGGTGTTGTGGTGGGTACCTGTAGTCCCTGCTACGTGGAAGGCTGAGTCAAGAGAATCACTTGAGCCCGAGAGTTTGAGGTTGCTGTGAACCGTGCCGCCAGGGCACTCTACTGAGGGTGGCAAATAAGACTCTGTCTCTAAAATAAAATAAAAAACACTGCCAGTAACTGGATTTTAAGCAACACCTCCCAATTTGTTTTAAAACAAAATCAGAGCAAGCTAAGGTGAGTCAGACCTATAATCTCTGACTCAGGAGGTAGAAGCAGGAGGATCTCTTGATGCCAGGATTCAAGAGCAGTCTGGGCAATATAGGGAGACACTGCCCTTTCCATCTCTACAAACATTTAAAAAAATATTAGCTAGCCTGACCTGGTTTCCTGTACCCTCAATGAATCCTCAACAATAAAAAAAAAAAGACAGCAATTAACCCATCCCCAATAAAAATTAGCTAGCCTGGTGGCAAGAACCCGTAGTCCCAGCTACTCAGGAGGCTGAGGCAGGAGGATCACTTGAGCCCAGGAGTTTGAGGTTACAGTGAATTATGATCATGCTACTTCACTCTACACTCCAGCCTGGGCAACAGAATGGGACCCCATCTCTAAAATCAAACAGAAAACTCTAAGTTGACATTTTTGAGTGTGGTATAGGGTTTTCTTAAAGAGAGGCATGCTTCTCTATTGAGGAGACCTACCAACTGCTTCTTTTTAAGGCCTTAGTGGACTCTCTTGAAAAGTCAAAAGAAATTGACTGAGTGTGGGCAGACTGTGGGACATTCATTCATTCATTTTCCTCTGACATAGAGACTTGAAGGGTATTAGCTGGGGATGCAGCATCCTCAGGAAAGGGGAGGTAGGTGGACCGTAGAGGTAGATAGAACTAGTCCCTGTTCAGGCTCATTTTACCCTCCAAGGGAAGCCAAATCAAGGAAAGTCAGGGCTTGGAGATGCTGGGCAGAGCCAGCTGCTGCCTTCATGTTGCCCTCAGTCTCTGAAGATTTACTGACCTGCTGGACAAAACCAGGAAGCAGCCTGGCCAGGCCTTTGTATGCTACTTAGAAGGATTCTAGGACTCTGCAGGAAGGGGAGGGACCATGGCTTATGAAGAGCAAGGCTGGAAGTCTTTTGGAAACTAAAACTGAAACCTGCTATGCATTAGCTTCCAGAGCGAAGGATACAACATTGGGGAACTCTCACAATAATGGGAAATTCCTCCTAGGTAGAAGCTGCTCTTTAAAAAGAAAAAAAAAAAGGAAATTCCAGTATTATGCAGGCCTGGGGGTGAAGCAGTGTAGCTCTGGTCTGGCTTAAAAATAAAGATACATCACTCTCCTGCAGCCATAAGCCTTGGGGCCTCCAGCAGGGAGGCATCCCCAGGGACTTGGGGTGACTTGCTGGTCCCCTCATACAGGGCCAGTGCTTCCCTGACACTTGGTCTAGTCCTCTCTGGGGCTTTCTGCGCAGGCTGAGGACTGAGGACAAGGGGTGATAGTGGTGGTAAAAGGGGGAGGAGAATACGGAAAAAACAGGGCCCTAGACTTAAATCTTGTGTTTCATAGTATAAAATCTAAGTGTAGGCCCAAAGAAAAGTCTGTGTTGTATCCTTGCCTCTCTTCCTTCATTGGTTACCATTTTTATTTGTTTTATGATTTCTCCTGTTGTCACTTTTGAGAAAAACCAACCCAGATCTCCCCTTTATTACCAGAGAGGTAGCACACTAAAATGCTAACTCCATGTGACAGTATCTCCGGGAGGAAAGGACAGAGATTGTCTTCAGCATCCTACTACAATATCTGGACCTACCATCGCTTCCTCAGCCACTCTCTGTTGGTGGAAATTAGGCTGTTTCCAATTCTTAGTTATTCCAGTCATGCTGCCAAGAAGGAATGCCCTTGCGCACATGTCCTGTTGTGTTTTTTTGCCGGTGTGTCTTTGTGAAGCTTTCCCTTCATAAAGAGGGAGTCGATTCTCCTTCTGTCTCCTGCTAATGCCCTTTTCTATGGCTGGGGATTACATGTCTGTCCTTCACTGTATCAAGTCTAGATTTTTGGTCTTCATCCTAACTGTGTGAATTTTCTGTATTTCCTACATTTTCTTTTCTTTTCTTTTTTTGCAGTTTTTGGCTGGGGCTGGGTTTAAACCCACTACCTCCGGCATATGGGGCCGGTGCCCTACTCCTTTGAGCCACAGGTGCTGCCCGTACATTTTCTAGTTTCTTAATAAGAGGCGCCTTGGCAACACGAGCGTGCATGGTGGGTGTTTGTAATACAGATTTTACAACTTAAATCAGGGTGGCAAGAGTAGATATATTTGAGATATACCAAATAATTCCAAATGACTTGACAGAGAAAATTTACAGATTAGTGGAGAATTCATTTGTTATTTCAATTCAAGGCAGGGCATAGCCGGGCGTTGTGGCAGGCGCCTGTAGTGCCAACTACTTGGGAGGCTGAGACAAGAGAAACACTTGAGCCCAAGAGTTAGAGGTTGCTATGAGCTGTGATGCCACGGCACTCTATTGAGGGCAACATAGTGAGACTCTGTCTCCAGAAAAAAAAGTGACAATAATAATAATAATTAAATAATTCAAGGCAGGGCAGTGAATATAGGGATTATACCAGTTCTTCCATGGGGTGTGGGACGGGCTGGGTGGTTTCTGCTCTGAATGCTCAGCATAGCTGATTCTGGGGAACATGGATAGCTACTCTTCCACCACCCTTCAGAATGAGGTCACCCTCCGAGGGGGAGAGGAGCTTCCGCAGGGCTGATACCTGCAGGCCAGCAGTGACCACAGACTGTGCAGTCTGAGGACAGAGTGGCTCCAGATGCTGCTTCTGTTTGTCAGAGAGAGAGAGAGAAATAAGAGGAAGGACTTGGCAATGCTGTATTTAGTGCCCCGAATCTCTGCCCAGAAATCATGACCTTAGGAAAATGTTCCAGAATCTATCACTGGGCTATACTGCTTATGAATAAACTATTTTTTGTGAAGTCGCTCTGTGATATATAAGGTTTATCAGAGCCTAGTCCTCATTATTTCCTGGAATATTAACCTTCAGCGTCTAAGATGTGCAGCTTTCCAGAATTCAGCCTTTCTGCTAATCTGGAAGTTGTGTGCTGTGGTGTTGGTGACGTTGATGATATTGGTGAGGATTCCTATCACGGAGCACCAGTCAGAGTGACAGCATTCCGGGGGTTGTGCTATTTAATCTTCCAGTCACCTAGACATAGGTACTACTATTATCCCCACTTCATAATGGGGAAACTGAGACCCATGACATCTAGTACTTTGCTCAGGTGGAGCTGGCATTTGAGCCCAGCAGTCTGACTCTGGGTTCCACCACAGTGGAGCGTTGTGAGCTCAGGCAGCCACTTCACTTCCTAAAGGATAAGGCAGTTTCGTTCTGCTATACAATCCTGCACTTCCAAGGTTTAGACGTGGCTTCTTCTGGAGTGTTACCTTCTCTCAAGGTGAAAAGGAATTTGCAGGTGCTATGAGCCACTGCAGTTTGGGTCCCTTTTCGTATATTTCCTGTTCTGGGGAAGATGGACTTAGCTGAGCCCGAGGACTGACTCTTAACCATAGTTAATCATTAACTTGTGCCCAGAGACAAAGGCAGAGTTGGTGGATTCCATTACAAATTTGCTGTGAGTGGGAGAATAAAATTGTTTCATGTTATGTTACATTTTCCTGGTACTGTCACATGACAAATAACCCATCTGTCAGTTTTCTATGATAGATTCTTATCCAGAGGAACCAGGGAGTTTGCAGGAACACTTCAAAGCAATGTGATACACTCAGCCAATGCCAAAGGCATGACTAAGCTAATTCTAATGGCTTCCCCAAATTGGTCCCTGGGCCTTTTTTCCTCTTCAGATCTACCTAGCCTCTGTACATCCAGTGAAAGACAAATGCTGACTTAACCCAATCACACTTTCTACCAGGAACCTGTGATCTGATCCATGTAATCTTAATTCCCCAACCCATGGCCTGCCAGAAGGGTAGTGTCCCACCACACTAAGCAGAAAGGAATGTGAGAACATTAGCCTCTCCCATCAGAAAGCAAAAAGCGGTTGAATTAATGTTGCAGGAGTGCCTTGAGGGGAAAACAATTCTGTAGAATTATTTGCGTGATTGTAAATTATTAGTAAGGAAATCTAAGTGC